AGGTGATGACAGGAGCACGTCTTCAAACATTAAAGCTGTAAGCAGCTTGGGACTGAGGTACCTCAAGGGCTGCCTCCTCCAGCACAAACCTGTGCAATGGTTGAGCTCATCCTAGGAAGCCCTGGCTCTGTATCGTTCAGTCCTCGGAAGCTCACCAGGTGGGTGCATGAAGCAGGGTCTTCCTCATGGTGGCCCCCTGCCATGTGGCTTCCTTCCCAGAAAGGCTGGCCTTGGGGCCATTTTTTTTAGCTTTTTGCAAGATGGCTCTGAATGGCCCTTCCTGTAAGTAACCCCCTTTTTAAAAAAAATTAATATATAATAATAAAAAACAAACTCAAACAAACAAACATAAAGACCATACAAAATTGGGGGGTTCCATATACAACGTAATTATATCTGTTATGACACCTCCTACATTATCTAAATGTATATTAGCCAGTTTTTATCACCATATATTTGTATCTAGATGTTCTGTGTTATAATTAAAGCTAAATTCTATAATATCTTCTAATGTGATCATAAGTCTGTATTGTTCATTTACTTGAGGAGATCTTATTCCATTTGTCTGAAGGCGTCTGAAGAAGCACATGAAAGCTTATACCCAGAATTAAACTTTGTTGGTCTTAAAGATGCCACCGGACTCAAACTCTGTTCTATACAGAAGTCGTGTGCGCATACCTACTTCTACCTGGGGGTGGAGGGAGAACAATACATGCACTAATTAGTGGAGACGGCAGCCTTTGGACGTGCAATCTGGGCTCGGCAGGCAAAGGCTTTGGCATCCGGCGTCATTCAACGCTCCTTCCTCCACCCCTTTAGAAAAAAATAAGGAGGCTGTGTTTTTGTGCTCCGGGACGAGGTCACTTCGGGTAACCGAGTTTCAGCTTGCCAGCCAGCCTGCCTCCCTGCCTGCCTGCCTGCGGGCTCCATCATTCCTGGCTAAGGAGCAGGGAGGCCGGTTGCCAAGTTATTTCTAAACATGCCGAGTCGAGAGCACGAGGGGACAGGTGTACGAGCAAGTGGGGCACGCAGGGGCGGGGCGGGGGGGGAATAGCAGCGCTGGAAGAATGCTTACTTGGGCATTAGCATCTTGTTTTTCTCGTAGAAGAGGCGAAGGTCTTGAGGGCTGCTGGCCTGCGGAGGGGAGAGAGGAGAAAAAGAAAAGATGTCAACAAGGGTGCAAAAACTGCCTGGAAAGTTACGGGATCACTGCATTGGCTTTCGACACCTGGTGACTCCCGGGCCCCTGGATTCACTGCTCTGCATGATAAAAGGCAAATCCCTTGCTCAAGCAACATTGCTCGACCGGCATGATTTATTTACAACATTGCTGTGCCACCTAGGATTGCCAACCTCCAGGTGGCACCTGGAGACTCCACGCTATTCCAATTGATCTCCCGGCGACCGAAATCGGTTTCCCTGGAGAAAATGGCAGCTTTGGAGGGTGGGCTCTGTGCAATTGTACCCTGCTGAGGTCTCTCCCCTCTCCAAACCCTGTCCTCTCCAGGCTCCAGGTTATTTCCCAACCCAAAGCTGGCAACACTAAAATTCACCTCTTTAGAGTAATGCTCAAGGCTACAGTTAAAAACCACAGGACGAGACACAAGCTATTAGATACAAGCAGCATAAAAACTATCTATGAATCATTTATATGTTACAATCAATGTTTCCTCTAAGCTGTGGAGTCTTGTGAGCAAAAATTCTACTTTGTGAGCTGCCGGCATTAAAGTTGTAAGCGAGCAATTTGGCTGCTGCATAAACTAGTTTGCTCTGGAGCCCTCCTTCCTGAGCTAAGGCGAAAATGTGTGAGCCGGAGGCTAAAAAACTGTGAGCTAGCTCACACTAACTCAGCTTAGAGGGAACACTGGGTTACAATATAAGGGGGGAAGAGCTGGAAGGACACTGAAGACACATTGGCTCCCGAAAATCCTGCTCAGCTTTGGAGATTTCAGCAGCACTTTCCAGCTTCATAAGGAATAAAATTTGACACACACACACACCCCAAAAAAAGATTTTTTAAAAAGATGCTGCATTCTGGCCAGAAATATCAATTCCTCATCTGTGTAAGTTGTGAGATATTTTATGCCCCTGAATTTTTTTTAAAAAAACACTGCTGTCACCCACACTATTGTTGCTAGTTCCTACAAGCAGGGGTCCGTTATCTTGTCTAGATTTGCATCCAGTACCACTTTAGAGACCAGCAAGATCAGCTACAAGGTATAGATGGAACATTCTGTCTGGGGCAGTGATGCTCCTTATTCTTGCTGCTTGGCGGGAGAGCAACAGTAGGAGGGCTTCTGGAGTTCTGGCCCCACTGGTGGAGCTCCTAGTGGCACCTGGGTTTTGGCCACTGTGTGACACAGAGCGTTGGACTGGAGGGACCCATTGGCTTGATCCAGCATGGCTTCTCTTATGCTCATGTCTGGGGCAAGTGATGCTCTGTATTTGTGTGCTTGGGGGGGGGGAAACAGTGGGAGGGCTTCTGGAGCTCTGGCCCCGCCGGTGGACCTCCTGATGGCACCTGGGTTTTGGCCTCTGTGTGACACAGAGTGTTGGACTGGATGGGCCATTGGCCTGATCCAACATGGTTCCTCCTTATGACAAAGGAAATTTTGATTCTCAAAAGCATATGCCCCCCCCCCAAATAAACCTCTTGTTCATCTCAGAGGTTCTACTGGACTCGGATCTTCCTCTTCTACTGCAGACCAGCACAACTACTCTCCCAAAATTGCTTATTTCAACCCCATCACAGCCTTCTTCATAAAACTGCTGGGGTTATTTCATTTGACCTTCACAACAACCCCGTGAGGTACGTTAGGCAACGAGACAGTAAGGGTGCATATCAGCTTGACAATAAAACTGGTGTCTCAGTGGACGTTTGTCCCTTCCAGAGAGCCTGGCTTCCTCCCACATGCCCAATGTCAACGACTGGTGTACTGATCAGCAAACCAAACACTGGTTGGGCCAGCTGTGGACTGTCATTTTTTTAAAAAATGTCATAGATCTATTCATCAAACTGGCCCAGCCAACTTAGATGCTTATGTTGCAAACAAAGATAAGCAAGGACAAAACAGAGGTGAAGACAGACAAAATCCACTGCTACCGCAGCCAAATGGGGACCAGTCCCGTAACAACGACAACAAACATTTCTTTAAATGTTTAGCCAACAGCACGAAGCCGCAAAGGCCTGTCATTTCGACACACCGCCCAACAAGACAGAAGCAGAAGCCGAACGTATTTAAAGCCCTGAAGACAGTTACAGCCGACAGCTCAGTTTGGATGATTTTCCGGAGTATGATTTGGAACGGGCCACTTCCCAACATGCGCACATGTTCTCTCAGTTTCCAGGCCTGGATAACCAGAATTTCCCACAACATCCGCTTTGTGCAACTACAGCTGGCGCCAAGCTCCAAGCCCCGGTTTGCAGATCTTCTTCCAAACGTGGTTCAAGATCAAGGCCGGGGGATTCAGCTGGCTGTGATTTGCAGGGGTCATTTTGTAGAAAAAGAGGTGCAGGAGCTCATTAGCACAACTTATTAGCATAACTTATTTGCATATGCCACACCCCCTGACATCACCGGAAGTGTGTCAAAAGGTAACACCCACGGCTCAGGCTCCACCGGACTCTTTTGGATTGCTAGCTATGGGGACGACGACGTGCAGATCTGTCCTGGCGGAGGAGGGAGAGCTTGTACCTGAATAAAACTTGGGTCTTAAAGGTGCCACTGGACTGTTTTGGGTTGGGCGGGCCCGGGGGGCTCTGCAACTTACCTGGCTGCTTCTTGCTCTGACTGAGGGCTACTGGGAGCAGGGGGTGGGGCTTGCTGCATGTGCCCGCCCCCTGGGCTCTTTACTGCCGGAGCTCCGCTCCTGTGCGCTCCTGCAGGAAATGACCCCTGGTGATTTGTAAGAATTGCTCTTGCAACCTGGATCCCGAGGAGGGGGAAGAAGAGAGCCTGGGAGCAGCACAGCATGCACCCTGCCCTCCAAACCATCAAAACTCTGAGCCCAAGTGAAGTACAGAGTGTTGGACTAAGGCGACTAAAGGCAGTGTGGTGCGGGGATTAAAGTGTCAGATTCGGAACTGGAAGCCCCCCCCCCATTCCAATCCCCTCTTAGCTATGAGAGCTCCTGGGGTGACCCTTACCCAGCCAGTCTGTCTCAGCCTAACCTACCTCACAGGGTTGTTGTGAGGATAAGGTGGGATAAACCCATGAACGCCTCCCTAGGGTCTTTGGAGGAAAACCGGGAGACACAACCAGAATTGCGAAGAAGGAGGAGGAGGAGATTGGATTTATACCCTGCCCTTTACTCAGAGTCTCAGAGCAGCTTACAAACTCCTTTCCCTTCCCCTCCCCACAACAGACACCCTGTGAGGTAGGTGGGGGCTGAGAGAGCTCTTTTGAGAACTGCTCTTGAGAGAACAGCTCTGACAGAACTATGGCTTGCCCAAGGTCATCCAGCAGCTGCAAGTGGAGGAGTGGGGAAACAAACCCAGTTCTCCCAGATTACAGTCTGCGCTCCTAACCACCATCCCAAACTGGCTCTCAAGAGAGAGGAAAGTACATAAAATCACATAACCCTTCACCCCGCTCCCAGTATAAGAACATGAGACCTGCCGGATCAGGCTAATGGTCCATCTTGTCCAGCATCCTGTCTCACACAGTGGCCAACCAGTTCCCCGGGAGGCCCAGCAACAGGGCATAGAGACCAAGACCTTCCCCTGATGTTGCCTCCTGGCTCTGGGATTCAGAGGATTAGTGCCCCTGAAGGTGGAGGTTCCCTTCAGTCACCGTGGCTAGTAGCCATTGATAGGCTTCTCCTCCATGAATCTATCTAACCCCCTTTCAAAGCTGTTTATTCCCGTGGCCATCACTACATCCTCGGGCAGCGGATCCCACATTTTAATCATTCTCTGTGCAATGAAGTATTTCCTTTTGTCCCTCCTGAACCTACTGCCCATCCGTTTCATTGGACGCACTTTATAAAGCTCTCCCTAACCCTATGCACCACACCATGGGCAAGAAAAACTGCAAACAAGCAACGACCACATCAGACTGATTACCTGTACGTAAGCTAGAGAAAAATGACTGTTCATCTATTAATTTATACAAATATTCGAATCAGGGGGAAAGACCATTTCTTTCAGGGGGAATCACATTAGCAATTCAACAGCCTTCAGCCAATCTGTTTATAGGGATTACAGATCCCATTAATCTTGTTCCTCTTGTAGTTTCTGTGGCCTTAATTTAGAGCCACCGTTAGCCGCACAAAAAGCTCGGCCCAGCGTCGATGTCTGTCAAGTGGGGAATGCGTCTTTTGGTGGCAACAATTCCGGCTGGGACAAAATTTTGTCAATGAATATTTCTCATAGAAAAAAGGGAGCTTAAAGGAGCTCAGATATCAAGGGACTCCACAAACGTTCCCCTTTTACACACCATTTTGTTCAGTTTCACTTCTATTCCTTTGTGTTTCTTGTCATCAGCTTTTGTATTATTATTATTTTTTTAAGGAAGGGCTCTTTTCCGAATGGGGTATGCCATCCGAGCCAATCAGGGATCACTCAGCCAGAGCAAGGACATCATGGCATCATGCAGCCAATCAGATGGGAGAAGTTTACAATATCACCAAGCTGAGCAAGAGTGAGAACAAGGCTTCCTGCCCTTGCTCTGAACAGAAGAACAATTTTTGCACTATTTAAATACTCCCAGGGGTCATTTCCTGCAGGAGCGCACAGAAGCAGAGCTCCGGCATTAAAGAGCCCAGGGGGCAGGCACATACAACAAGCCCCGCCCTCTACTCCCAGCAGCCCCAGGCCACAAGGAGCACGAGGATCTGTGCATTCCCCCCCCCCATAGCTAGCAATCCAAAACAGTCCAGTGGAGCCTGAGCAGTGGGTGTTGCCTTCTGACACACTTCCGGTGATGTCAGGGGGTGTGGCGTATGCAACTAAGTTATGCTATTGAGTTATGCTAATGAGCTCCTGCACCTCTTTTTCTACAAAACGACCCCTGAATACTCCTCCCCACCATTATCATGGAATTAAAAAGCTTCTCTCCCCCCATATCCCCCCCCGCATATACCCAATTCCCCCTTCAAAATCACAGTCTGAGCATTTGCGTTCTCTAAAAGGA